TTTTCCTTTATCTAGCCTCTCTCCATCTTCACTGTCCATCAGATTAAGAAATCTTCCTGAATAATCATAAGAGAGTTCTTCTTCTGGAAAAATGTCTTTGGCTGCAAAGAGGGCCAACTTAGGTACCATGGAGTTAATTCTGACAGGAATCATGAACAGATTTGGCTCACAAGAATGGTTAAGGTATCTTCCAATATTTCCAACCTGGGTAGGATCAATAAATGTTTCCATGACTTGTCCATTACACACATGCTCCCTGATGGCAATAATGTAGTTTGAATCATATACTGTTTGTAACTGGATTCCTCTCTGCACTTCAGGGAACCCTAAAACCTCACCAGCATATTCACAGACAAACCTTCCTTTGGGTATAAATTCCTTGGTACGAAGTCCCCAGCCTTTTTTATCCGTCTTGAACACCTGAAGGTGAAACTGCAGGCCCCTCTGGACCACTCTGTTTTTGCAGTGGTCACTGCACGGGCACAGGGCATTGCATTCGAAAACTGGCTGGGCATACTTTCCTGCTGACCCTATCTCTCGGAGGCATGAATCGTCATTGTAGTTCTCCTCATGACGGAGACAGGAGCAAGTACCAGGGAGGCAAGGGACTTTAAGGCAAGTGCATCCAGGAAACGTTATCTCAGGAGGATCAATGTCAGTTCCAGGTCCAATGACATGATCAGGAGTATACTGCAAAAAATGAAAATAGAGTAAGCCAGCATGGCACGCCAGGCATTTCACACAGAAATATATACATAAATGTTTCATGCAGCTTTTGCCTGGCTTTTTCATTTCAATGTGGGTACAAACAATAATGATAAAACACATTATTTTAAGAAATTGCCTGAAAAGGTAACTCAAATAAATATATATATATATTTTTTAGATTTAATATATCTTGGTCTTACTGTAGGTATAGGAAAAACAATAAGCATATTATTTTTCCTACAACCAGAAATGGAAAGTATTGAAACCCATTGTTTCCCTCCGAGCTTTGGATGCCAGAAAACTCATGGTTGAATTTAATGCTTGATTGCAGTCAGATGTTTTACCTGACTTTTAATCTCTTTTGTCTTGATTGGATAATACTGTTGCTTTTAGGTGCCATGGAGTCAGCTCGGACTTACAGTAGCCCAGTGCACAACAGAACGAAATATTGCCACCCAACCTTCACCCCATAATCACTCCTGTGCTTAAGACAGTAGTAGCAGGCCTTGAGCCAGCCCATCTTCTTGAGGGGCTTCCTCTTTTTCACTGACTCTCTACCAAGTAAGATGTCCTTAAGGGACTGTTCCTGCCTGAGAGCATGTCCAAAGTATGTGTTCCATTCTAAGAAGGTAGATGTGTTTTTCTGACAACTCATGGTATATTTAATATTCTTTGCCAACCAAGTAAGATGTCCTTAAGGGACTGTTCCTGCCTGACTCTCTACCAAGTAAGATGTCCTTAAGGGACTGTTCCTGCCTGAGAACATGTCCAAAGTATGTGTTCCATTCTAAGAAGGCAGATGTGTTTTTCTGACAACTCATGGTATATTTAATATTCTTTGCCAACACTATAATCAAAGGTACCAATTCATCTGTGGCTTTCCATACTCACTGTCCAGCTTTCACGTGTGTAGCAGGGAGTGGTAAATATCATGGCTATGGTAAGCCCAGTTTAGTCCTTAAATGATACATTGGTGTTTAATACTTCAAAGAGATCTTTTGGAATAGATTTGCCAATGTAATATGTTGGTTAATTTCTTGACTACTGCTTCCATGGGTGTTGAGTGTAAATCTAAGTAAAATGAAATTCTGACAAATTCAACTTTTCCCCTGTTTATCACGGTTTATTGGTCCAGTAGTAATATTTCTGTTTTATGCTGATATGTAATCCATACCAAAGGCTGTAGTTATTGATCTTCATCAGTAAGTGCTTTCAGACCTCTTTACTTTCTGTAAGCAAAGTTGTGTTATCTGCAAACTGTAGGTTGTTGGTGAATGCCTCATTCTTTTTCATATGATCCGGCCTCCTGTATTATTTGCTTAGCATACAGATTGAATAAAGATGATGAAAGGATACAACCCTGAAACACACCTTTCCTCAGTTTAAACTACAAAGTGTCCCCTTGTTCTGTTTGAATGATTGCCTCCAGGTTCCGCATGAGCACAATGAAGAATTCTGGGATTCCCATTCTTCCCAATGTTGTCCATAGTTTACGACAATTCACATGGTTAACTGTCGTTGCAGTGTCAAGAAAACACAACTAATCAGGGTTTAAATATTAGACAGGGTTCTCTGGAGAAGCAAAACCAGAACACCTATGAGTATATGAGCAGACAAGT